TCTGAAAACAACCAAAAAGAAAACTGTTGGTTTACCTTCCCTGGACTTCTGCTTTTGGTTCTTTGTTTCTGTTACGACCCCCTCCACTCCACTAGAGGTCTCTGTCTTTGTGTTCTGCTGCCTGGCTCTTGTTTGTGTTTCAGGTGATCAACCTGATGAGCCACACCTGGGCCGTCTACATAAAAGGCCAATCCATACTGCCCTCTCACATTTTCACACACCCATAGACACGCAATCATTACTGATAACTGACTTCCACGTTTAGGTTTCTTTGAAGACCTTTGGTTTTTGTGGTATTGTAAATAAATATGCTTTTTGTTACACTTACTTATCTAGTCTCCCATCTTTGTTGCAGCCTATGAGCCAGGCCGTAACAAAGATGGGAGACTGGATGCATTTAATCTCTTATTTTGCTCTGATGAATATTGTTGCTTAAGATATTGGCGCATAGAATATTCCTATTCTCCCCTTTCCTTTATATAAATGTAGTATAATGGTACCTTGTTGTTCTGGTAGGCGGTGACTGTGAGAAACTGGGTCTCAGGGAAAACGAAGGAGTGCTGCCCTCCGCCCCACCTCAGCACGTCTCTGGCTTCAATCACATGAATCCTGGGCTGGTAGCGATGCAGCGAGTGCAGGATAATCTGGGAATAGAAGAAATTAAATTGACTCAAAATGCACCATGAAGACAAACCTACCCTTAAAGATTGGGTGGTGTGTTTGTGTGTGTGCAGTCTTTGATACGTACGTGTCCCTGGGAGTCCAGTGTGTTGTTGGTGAGCTTAGCGTGGTGAAAGGAGATGGTGCGGCTCTGCCAGTGAGCGCCTGTGGCAGGTGAGTCCGGGTGGATGAAGACCCGGTCCGGCAGCCTGGCCTCGGCCCCGCCAACAGCCTGCCAGGCTCCACCCTGGAAGCGATAGCGGGAGTTGTCCAATGGGACGATGTCCAGGAGGACGAGGTAGCGGAGAGATGGGTTCAGGCCAGAGAGCTTTAACCTTAGCCCGGGGAACATCCGTCTAAGAGAAGGGGGCACGAAGATTTAAGATTTAAGAAACAGATTGGAGAATTCAAAAGAGTAGTTAAAGTAAAGACAAAGGAGGAGGAGTCAAAGATTGATGTTCTCTCACCTGCCCTTCTTGGTGATGATCATCTCTGTGCCAACTGTGGTGAACTGTTTCCATAGAGAGGCGTTCTCCAGCTCCATCTTCACCTGATCTTTTGGGGTTTTGGTGGTAGGGTCCTTCAGGGGAGGGGGCAGCATCCTTTGTGGCAGGGCTTTGGCCGCCATGTCACAGGCGGCGGGAGGAAACATCTGCATGTGAGCTGGAGCCGGCCGATCTGTGGAAACACATAAATCCAGGAAATAAACATTTAGATAAATGGTTGAAATAAAGGCAATATGCGTTTTATCATTTGTACAATATTCTTGGAAATTGAAATATAAAAGGTAGCAGAATACTATTGAATGTGTTTAAAGTGAATTAATAGACGAATGTAACTTTTTTAATTATTTTATTCAAGCAATGTAACTTATTCAATTTGATCATCTGTGACTACTTATCTAACAAATGTTTTAAACAACCTCAACAGTGATGATTCTCAAACTTGTATTGAAGATTATTCAAGATAACTTTGAAAAAGATCAAGATGAAGAAACATTCACGCTGAAACTGATTAAAATGTAAAGAAAATTGTAATTGAACTGTGTAACATTTTTATTTGTAACATATTATAAACACATTAGTCAATTCCTTGAAAACACACATTTATTAGATTGACTATGTTCCCTATTTCCTCAATGTCACACCTTAATAAGCTTGATTTAGCGCTAATTTAGTTTGACAGAAAGTATTCAAAAGTTTAAATGTCCATTCTCTTTTTGCCTTACACACACACAAACACACACTCTTCCTCACCTCTGTAAAAGCAGTCTCCGATCCTCTGAGGTCCCAGAGTCAAACTGGGGTAAATCTCCATGCTCAGCATCTTCCTCGTCTGTGTGTGTGTCTCTTTACTCGTCCTCTTCAGCTGCTTCAAAGTAACATTTCCCTCTTCAGCTCCTGCTGACTCCTTCTCTGTTCCCTTGGGGTCAATCTCCTCTTGTACTGGAAACCTCTTCTTAGTTATGTTCTTCAGATCGGTTCCTATCCCTCTGCTTCCTTTGCTTCTAATGCCCACAGCGGTGTCTTGCTCTGTTAAATAGGTGTGTGTGGAGCTTCACACTTGAGGCCAAATGGCTCTTCTTCTGCCTCCCTGTCTCTCTCCACACTTCACCCTCATCTCGCCTTCTGTCCCTGCTCCACAAACACAAACAACCCGGTCATATAGAGAGGTGATTCGCAACATCTAGGGTTTACTTTAGTGTCTGGAGGAACATTTATGTGATGTGTGTCATTGCGTGTCACTAGAGGTATAATAAATACCTAAACTTAAATAGTGTTTTGAGTTATTTGTATTTTTGAGTACTTTATCAAAATGTTTCACGACATTCCAGATTGAAATATTGTGCAATTTACTTCACTACGACTCTTTTACTGCTGTAGATACTTTGCATTGAAGTATTTTACAACAAGAAGGAAACAAAAGCAGTTCTGCTCCACCTGTATCGTTAAAATATGGCTATTACGTTAATGTTATACAAAAATAAACAACTTATTATATGTCGTTTTTTATACTTTTAAATGTTTACATTTTAAACGTGTTTTTTCCTATATTTCTGTACTTTTAGAGGACTTTGACCGGAGTATTTTTACTTTGTGATGTTGATGTTTTGCTTTAAAAGGGAGCTGAATACTTCCACCACTGCATGTCATGAACAACTGGCTCTGATTCATCTGTTATACATATAGCAAATGTTTCAATATAGATAAATAGATATATACTTATATTCTTAATCCCAATTTGGGAAATTATTTTGTTACAGAAGCAGTGTGTTCAATACATTTAAATATAAATACTATGCTTTAGTCATTAATTCAGCATTGAATACGAGGTATACATGTGTGTATGTGTTCATGTGATATTAAAACAGACAAATGCAATTTGTAGTCTTACTTTTAAGTTTTTCTGTAATAATTATTCGAAATGCTGCCTTCTTTAAATGCCTTTTTTAGGGGTAAACATAAATCTGCTTCACTGCAGCCCCCCTGTGGCTGTTTGATGGCTTGATGACATGTTTCTTCCTCTCAGCACTCTGCCTGTTAGTTCTTCTCAGCAGGGAGTCAGGCTTGAATGAAGGTGGAAGAGGTAGACAGTTTGGCCGACGGCTGCAATTTGTCCCCAACAAAAACACGAGTGTGTAGAAGTTTATATGAATACGTTTGAATTCAGGTAAGAACATGGTATTACAGCTGATTCTGCGAAAGCGTTTCTTGGAGTATTTAAATTATAACTGTGTGCAAATTGATTCAAGTGCAAAATATGCTGTCACATAAGAGAAAAGTTGGTGTGCAGACAGGGTTTCAGGTGAAGGAGACAATGCGGACCACACAGACAAACCTCTGTTGGTACCAGGCAGGACATTAGTTTGTTGTGTAGGATATTTAGATCCTTCACTTGCAAATGCAGTGATACCACAATGTGAGATTACTCGACTGCAAGGCCAAGAAGGCCAAAACCGTTTTTAATTTTTGAGATGTTTGACTGTTGTACCATGTTGTCTTTCAGACTAGTTGAAAGAAAACATCCTATACACATTTAAGTGTTTATTGAACTACAATTAGTCTATTTGTGTCCGTAGATATCTCATAAATTCACTAAACGTTGGCCTTAGATAATGCTTCATTTGCATATTCAAACATAAACCTTCAGGAAACTTAATAGTTACTTTTTCTTCAAATGAAATGTCATTGGGTAGAGAAACATTAAATGAAATCTCTAAAATGACAGTGCACCTGTGTGGCTTTAGAAGTACACCATTGTATGTATTGAAACCTGTTAGTAGAGTAGGATTTGACATGTCTCCAGCTAAATGAAATAGTAGGCTGCTTTTTACCTGCCAAAAAACTTAAAGAAAAACTTAAAAAGAAAAACTTAAAGAAACATAGATCACAACAAATCTTCCTCAGAGACTTGATTATGCAAGGACTGACAGAGAGGCTTTTTGAGAACTCTTGGAACAGATCATAGAGGCTTTTAAATAAAGGCTTAATCTGAACTACTTGGAAAAGCAAGAAAATCTTCTTTAAAAGCTTTGAGGAGCAAATCTACCTGCTCATAGACAACTTTAAAGAGTGACAGCTGGAGACCGTTTCCAGGAGTGAAGTATAAATGTTGTTGTAGTTGTTGTTTTCCTTCTCCATTTGTGTCTGTGTGTGTGTTGGAGGGGATAAAAGCTAGAAGGGGAAGTGGAGGTGTGAACGCCACACTGAGAGAAAGGTCATTACCTTGATGAGGGCAGCGAGGTGTGTGTGACGTCTCTTAATGTTTTTATGAACTAACAGGTGTGTCAGCCACCAGACTCTGTTACAAGCCATGATGAGGATTGTTAGTTGTTTTGTTTTTGTACCATTACTGGAGTGGGGGGCAGGTGGTGTGTGCTGTTGACAGTGCATTAAGGATTACCCTAGGCCTGCTCCCGACATGTATGTGCTAAGTGGTTTGATATCCACCTTTGTTTGCTCACTGAGGCCTAAAGGTCAGGTTACCGGGGGAAGAAAGGACACCATCAGAGGCATTTGTTTTGAAATGTTCATTGCTGGCTCAGATGTTCCTGCTGTTCGAACACTTCCTTCATGACAGGGGGTTGTCTGAATTCCTCGAGCATGTTTACAATGGAGCAACAAGCATTGTAATCTGACGAGGATTAGTGTTGCTCTGTGCACACACTGTTGCTTTTAGTCTGTGGGCGTCTCTCCACAACAAAGAGGGATTTTTGATGTCACAGATTATTGGGATTGAAACATACCGTGTGTTGTCCATAAATAAATCCTCTGCATGCAGAAAACACGTTGTCAGATTACACGCTTTATCTGCTTTCACTGTGCATATTTTGTCTCATCCAACAGGCAAGGACCCATTTTTATTAAGATTGTTCCAGAAATACATAATAACATGTACCATAGGAAGCACAAGAGGCACAGAAGACATGTATTACTCTTTAGATAGCTTAGATGTTGCTTGACAAACAGTTTGCATGGAATATATATTTAATGCAGTCATTTCACACACACACCTATTTGAATCTCACAAATAGAAAAAGATAGGAAATTATTCTAAATGAAGTATTGTGGTGTTGCAGAGAAGTCTAGCATTACAAACGGTTTTCTACAGAATTAATCAAAAATAAAATTGTTGGTACAGATCCTATATTGTACTATTATCATAGTAGTATTGAATTACTATTATCTAATATTGTCAATCATACAGCAATATCAGTCACTATAATCGTTTTTTATTTTTGAAATCGTGCAGCCTGAGAAGGTGATTTGGTAATATCTTTTATTTTATCCGATCAAAACAGTGAAAATGTATCCGACAGACAACAAGTGTAGCTCCCCGCCGGTCAGACCACCTCCAGAGGGTCTCTGTCTGTCTTGGACACCACCACAGTCACACTGTCAGGAAGACGCACAGCCAGCTTCTCCCTGAACACCGCCAGGAAACCCCGCTCACTGTTGCTATGGTCACTGAGGATGACGTTAGTCCCCATCGCCACGGCGTCCAGAACCTCGTGGTGGGACATCTCACCTGAACAATGTGTATGATCATTACAACAGCAGGCGTAATCAAGTCAAAACATTGACAGTAAAACTGATCAGTTATAAACCATTTTTTTTATGACATTGAAATTAGATTTTTATTTAAATGTACCTGTGATGTAGAGGTCTGCCTTGACTCCGCCCAGTACTGAGGCTCCAGATCCAGCACACACAGCCACGGTTTCCACAGAGGACTCTGAAACATACCATTATACAATTCAAGGACACGTTTAGGGTTTTATTCAATGTTTGAGCTTTTAAACCCCAAAGAAGCCAAGTCCAGGCTGACATCTCTGGCAGAGCTTATTATGATATTCCTAAATCAGGCTTTAGACTTAAAAAAAGAGAAACTGCAGACCATTCAGAACATCTACAGCTCCCAGGCTCTCCTAATGGGTGGGTGTTCAACATACTTTACGTGTTTATCCAACTAATAACACCGGCACAATAACCTCCTGTCTTTCTGAGAGGTATTTACCTAGCGTCTGTCCTGATCCCAGAGCCAAACGGAGGTGACTCAAACCCAGGTGGGACTTCATTTTCTGGATGGCTGCTGAAACGGTCACTGGCTCGTCCAAAACACTAAGTCGTCCTTGGCCGTGACCCGGGAGAGGAGGCTGCAGGGAGTGGAAGGTGAACAAGAAATAAACACTATGCATGTATATCACATCATAACTATCCACAACTATTTAGCGAAATAATCAAGATAGAGCTTTGTCTCCATCCTAAAGTAGTATTCTTTCTATCCTGATTGGTTTGTACTGAATAAAAGTAATGATTTCGTGGTTTATCGCGCGCGTGCGTGCGTGTGTGTGTGTGTGTTCTGTACCTTTTCTAACTTGAGGATGCTGAAGGACAGGCTGGTAGCATTGTGTCGTAACAGAGTCTGGACACTAGGGGTCAGCGCTGAGTCACTGCAGGTCACGCTCACATGGATCCAGCTGTTGTCTGGTCTGTAAATAGTGAGGACAAACAACCTGTCATTCACCAAAAGGACTTATAGGTTTTGCATTTTTAAACCTATTACTTTCAAAAAAAAGTATACCTCAATTTGCCCCTGACTATGTTCTTATCAACATAAGCTTCTGTTCTTTTGACTATTTTGTGAAACTCCCAATCAGCTGGACAAAAGCAATCAAACAGAGTGCTTCCTTTATAGCCTTTACTTTGATGTAGAAGTTATGTAACCAGCTTTTGGTAAAGGCGCTGGCTGTGTGTCGGAGAAGATAAAGGCAGATCTTACGCTATCAACAAATGCTTTTATAATAGTACAAAAATACTCCTTTGTTTTTTTTGAGTAGATAATCTGCTTCCTGTTTAGAAAGGCATGCCCAGTCTACATGATCGGTTATGTGTAATACTTTTTTCAGACTGTTAGTATGGATAGGGTTCATTTCTGAAACGGTGCTAAAATGCCTGGGTGAACGCAGATTGTTTTTTAAAATCTAAACGTATCAAAGGTGTGAAAGTGAACTCTACAACTGCATTGGATTCACAAGAGGCTTTGATATCAAACCCAGAACAATAAACAAGTCTTTATACAGACGTTTTGGTTAAAAGTGAAAACATGCAAAACTAGAAAGATGGTCCTTAATTAAAGGATAATTTCACACACAAAAAATGTAATTTCTTTAACAATTACCAACCCCATGTAAAAAATCTTTGCTTTTCTCACGTGCCTCAACAGTGAGACGTTCTGTTTTTTGATTCTTTATTCGCTGTCTGATCCATGTGAGAAAAATATATACAACTGATCATTTTAGTGGTGAAGTATTCCTTTGAAGTGAGTATGTGAGGTGCTTATTTAGTTATTTATACACTTTTCTTTGGTCTATGCAAACATGTACAGGACCTGCCGGCTGAATGCTGTAGAGTTGTGTCACTGTCACAAGCCTTCAGTTCCTCCATCACAGCGTTTAGTTCCTCTGTACTCTTGACTGTGAACTCCAGTTTGTGGCTGTGGGAGGCGGCTGCGTGGGCCTGACTTAGCACGGACACCTGGCCGCTACCTGAGAGGCAAAGAGGGCGGAATAAGACACCCAGGGTGACAACAAGATGAGGGTCAGAAGAGTGGGTCAGTGTAAGGTTACACAACATTTTAGCCTATGTCTTCATTAAATATGCAAGTGTGACACATTTTCAACTCAAAATGACATAATTACCCAATCCCCCAGCCAGCCAGTCGTTCACTCCTCCTTTAACGCTGTCCCACGAAGTGTGAGGGGAGAAGATCGCCATCCTGGCCTCCACAGCCCGGATGGTCAATCGCTGCTTCCAATCTTTCTGAACCAGACGCTTGAAAGGCCGAAACAACGGGGGGTGATATGAAATGATGAGGTCACAGCTCATGGCCTCGGCCTCATCCATGACAGCTTCTGTGAGGTCGTTGGTCAGCAGGATAGTTTTAACAGGCCGGGGTTTGCTGGGCTCCACCAGGAGACCCACATTGTCCCAGGACTCGGCCAGAGACAGAGGAGCGAGCTGCTCCAACACCTGCAGGACCTCTTTCAGCTCCATCAGGCCGGGACAGGGAGCAGAAAGAGAGAGGCAGCGGGTGGGAGGCAAGTGAGAAGATAAGGGGGGGACTGAAGTGTGTTGGCTAAAGAAGATGTGACTGTGAGTTGGTGGACGGAGAGATGAAAATGGAGAGATCCTGGTACAAAGTCTTCTATAGGTGAGTGACAAAAATCTACAAGAAGGGCTTCTACATCCAGTCAACATCAGTGGAGACCTGTGTGGACAGAAAATAACGAATATAAGTCCTAGCTAAGTAAATAAAAGTTTAGTTAGCAACAATTATAATGCTAGTCCAATATCTAAAATAATGACAAAGAGTATGACGATTACCTGGCATGCAACCCAAACTTTAGGGTTGTTTTATATGAATAAAGTGCAGTGACGCTACTTCAAACCTTATTTATGGGTCTAACATTACCTATAAGTGGCACTGACTGCTGAGGAAGCGTGCAGCTAACAGCAGGGCTAGCTAGTAAGCTAACATTAGCAACTAATACACACTCAGTCCACACCGATATAAGTAAAAACACACTAGAAATATAACTTTCTGTGAGAGTGAACTTATCGTACTTTCGCTTGCCTTTCACTCTATCGCCACGAGACTAGTAGCGCTCTCTTGTTGCTGAACACATTTCTCCAGAAGTGACAGAGAGCGAAGCAGAATGTCCCTGTCCGGCTTCCGTTTTTTAAAGTGACGGGCCCTAGATGATTTACAAGTAGCTAAATATGTAATTGCAGTAGCATACTGCTGGTGGAAAAACGATTTAAATGGCTCTGTTCTAGTTATGTCACACTGTAAACAATAATTCACATGGTGGATAAATTAGGAATTTAAAATGTCAGGAACTCCCCTGGCTTTCACCTAAATAAAACGTTGACTCAAAGAGACAAACTATTATACAAAGACAACAAAACCACTTTGATATAATACAAAATAACTACAAAGAGACACATAGCCTACTCACAGAGATGTGTAACGACTAAAAAGAGCGACTAAACAACTATACAGTCTGTGTGTCTTTCTGCTTTTTAGGAAAGATCCATCATTGTATCTCAGTTCCTATGGTGCTTTGTCTAATAATCCAAATGTTGTAGCAATGTTACTTTTATATATTTTGTCAAATGTGATTCCATTTTCGTAGAACAATTTTCAGAATAGTAATGTAGTGGAGAGTATGGATTGACAGAAGGCTATAAGCTTTGGACCCCTGACCAGAGGAGGAAGGCCGTTCCTGGCCAATTTGGGGCCCCAAGCGACATTGTGAGATGAGCCCCCCACAGACAGCAGTGAAAAAAAAATGTTTGGAAACAAAGTACTTTGCAAATATAATTCCTGTTTATTATTATTATCAACACAGTTACTTTTTTATACAGTGAGTTAAATGGTAAATGTGCATGTATGTCGTTCAGTATGCGTTTACAGGTGAATTTGTCTGCCAAATACTAGCCTCAAAAAGATTAAAATATAATAATGCAAATAAACTACTTCTACTACTAATAATAATAATCATCATAATCACTTCAATAATATAAATACTATATTATTTTATTATAATATAGTTGTAATATAGTCAAGACAAAACATGCTGCGCTGAGAACTGCGCTGAGAACTGCGCTGAGAGCTGCGCACAAGCCAAGCTCATAAGCCGAGGCCTCCTGCGCGAGGCCCCCTGCGCGAGGCCCCCTGTGCAATGTGAGGCCCCATGCAGCCTGCAGGATCGGCCTGTAGGTAGGGACGGCCCTGGGAGGAAGTACTCAGATCTTGTACTTGAGTCAAAGTAGAATTACCAGAGTGTAAGAATACTCTGTTACAAGTAAAAGTCCTGCATTCAAAATGTTAGTCAAGTAAAACCTTGGCCCCTACATTTTGTAAATAGAACATGAGAGGATTGTTTGAATCTGATAAATCTGAATCAACTCGCTGAACTCTTTATGTAATTGGATCAGTAATGCACACAAACACAATAAATCAGTCCGTCATAGTCCGTTATATCTTTAACATTTCTAAAAAAGTTTAAAATGATTTTTATAAACTTCCGACAATTTCACTTGAAAATCTTGTTTTGTAAATTGGTTCAGCTCAAAAACATGTTAAAGTAAAGCAGTTTAGCTGCTGGTATGATGTAACACTGATCATATGTAATGTTACGAAACAAGTTCACAGATTAATGCAAACAGGAAAAGACTAGAGTTTGATGGACTCCAGGACAGGTGGTGCAGCAGCAGATACCCTCCAGGCAGCCTACACTCAGATTACTGAGATTGAAATAAACAAATCTGCACAAACAAACAAAGTTGAGCGTAGGGTTATCAATGTTGGGAGACGATTGCAAACGGTTAAAATAGTGGTTCATATTAAAAGTGCATGACAAGCTGCTGCTGCTGCTGCTGCTGCTGGGCAGAGTAGCTACCTCAGACTCAGAGAGCGACAGAGAGAGATTATTGTGGATTATGAGATAAAGGTCCATGCTGGATGTAAGAGGGATCAGTGAGGATGAGGGCAAAGGGCTGGACGCGAGCATTACATCATCTGACTCTGACTATGACCTTGTTGGCGTCTTTTTGCACGGTACCCCTCAGATGAGTTGGACCCTCTTTAGGAACACCCGCCCTTACAATACATTTATTATAAAACCATGAAACAATATGAATTTTTCCTTTCTGTCTGACTGACGAGACATAAAACTGACAATGTGTGACTTATCTTTCAAGCATATTGCCACAGTTCTATCCCCTTGCATGCAATCTGTGGAGTACAAATGACAGATGTGTTTCTTTAGTTAGGTCTGTTTTTTCATGAACTGCTTCACTTTTTTTAATTGGTACTGTAAACCCTTGTTCCCCATCTGTCCGTCCATTTAAAGTTTGGCCAAATTTGCCATACAAAAACATCTGTGAGGGTGCACAGTGTCCCCGTCTACAACCCCAAATCCCCCACAGGTGTTTAATCTCAGATGTGCTGTCAGTTCACTGGAGGTGTATTGTGTTGCAGGTCCTCTATCAGGGCTGGGAGTGAATTCTGTGGAAATTCTGAGGCAGATTTTAGTCAAATTGTATGTTTTTGTGTTTGCTCACCACAAACTGCTATTCCAGACCACATAATAACTCTGTATTAGTGCAAATACAATTGCTACAGTATGCTATGGTTAGGATACTTTGCCTGGGTGCTGTCCAGGTTCATACTTGGGATGGCCAAATATCACTTTTTCATGTTTAAACCAAAAGAATATCTGCCAACATCAGTCCTTTGCCATCTTTTTCCCCCTCTCTTAAATAACTAAGCTGTTGAAGTACCAGAGTGTAGGAATACTCTGTTAAAAGTAAAAGTCCTGCATTCAAAATGTTACTCAAGTAAAACCTCTGCCGCTGACTTTAACTAAAAATAGCATTTTCAATTTTGTTAATAGAGACTGAGATGATGGTTTGAATCTGATGAGGCTGAATCCACTCGCTGAACTCTTTATGGTATTTGGGTCAGTAATGCACACAAACACACAACATTTCTCTAAACCCACAACAAATCAGTCCGTCACAGTCAGATAAAACATTTGTATGGCTGCACTTTGCTGAAGATGTTTTAAAAACATCATGCTCACACCGGGAAAAAAATATTCTACTCCAAATTAAAGAAATAGATAACCCAAAACAGGACTTTTGAATGCGTAAATGCTGCTTCTTTTTATTGTTCAGCACAATATAAACATTCAAATAATGTTTTATTTAATCAATTTGGTGCAAAAGTTGATGCAATTCCAGGGTTAAAAAAAACCTAAAAAACTAAATGTTGCTACACCCAATGACAGTTATAGACAGATGTTTTAAGGAATGTATTATCGTATTAGATTAATTGGTAATGTGGTAATTGCCGATGCATTGATTTTGGCCAGTATTGGACCGGATTTGCATATTTCCAGAGTTTTACACATTTCTTTTTTATTTAAGTTATTCTTAATGCTCATATTTTGCACAATGTTTCACATGTGCGTGAAAACGTTTTAATAAAGGGGAAGAAGCAGTTTTGCAATAATGTTGTGGGTTATGTATGTTTTCTGAAAATCAAATATTAGTTTTACCATTTGAGTATTATGTTTATTAAATGGCTGGGGTTAAGCAAAGGGCAAATGTATTGTTAACAGCTTGGATGTATAAGAGAGGGAAAAATACATTATCGTATTGGTTTAGGCAGATACTGAATATCAGTATTAGTATCATATTAAAAAGTTGTCTCTAACCATCACCATAAACCATGTTTACTGAAACAAATTTCCCCAAACACTAAAGATGTGTACTGAGAACAGCCAAATTGCAAGAATGACTCAGACTGCGCTCTTCAAAAGGCTATATTCTGGTAGAAGCAGATTTTCCCAACATTTTTTTCCACTTAATATCGACAAATCTGTTCTGCACGAATCAGGAAGTCAGAGTTATTATGTTTTTGGAGCGTCGGTCTTATCGAATCAGTGGTCACACAATCTCTTTATCCCGATGTCCTTCCAAAGCCACGGCAGAGAAATGACTCAATCCTCATCTACCCACAGCGCAGCAGCATTGCTGATATTTTTGCTTTCCAAATCCCTGCTTTGGGACACGAAATCCATAGATTGTTATGTCAAATTATTATATAACCATTGAGTTTTGTGCTGTTATGCATGTTGATTTATTATGGAAGTCATGCACAAATTAGTGTTTTTACTTTTTGGGCAATTTTGGAAAATTATAGCCTTTTACCAAATAGTTAAAATAAAAATTCTTGCAGACATGATGCTGAATAATACATGCAGTGTCCTTGGCTTCCTTTCCAGTTTCACACATGAAGCCTGTTGCATTCATTCAAACCAAAATATACAAAATGGAAAAGATTACATTAGATGTTTTATTTAGAGATCTGGAAGATATCTGTGACAAGGATTTTACTTGTTGGATTGTATCCATAAATGAATACTGTACTCTAAAAACATAACAACAAGGCCAGGCTAAATACTTGATATCTACAATTGTTATACACAGTGATTTCTTATTAAGTAGATGATAACTATTATATCTACATTTTCATTATAACATTGCTTTAGTGATAAGAATGATGTGAGAATAGTTCATAAACAATCAAAGTCTTCAATTAACAATACAAACATTTGAAAAATTCAAACCATTTCAACAAAACGATCCAAAATGACTTATAAAATAGGTATAATCAGGCAAAACATTATTAGTTTGATAAACACTTTCAATAGTTGCATAGACAGTAAAATTCTCTCTGAGAACAGCTTCACATTGCTTCACTTTTCTTAGCAGCACTTTATTCAAATTACAAATGTGTATGTCCTTAGTGTTTATGTAGGAAGTTAATTTGTTGAAGAGCTTTATAGAACGACAGCATTAGTATTAAAGCTTGTCCGTAGAGGTGCAAAGGTAATTTCTTCTTCTTTCAGCTGCTCATTCGTGGGACATCATTCTGACGAACTCTGCAGCAGAGAAAAAGAGTTTATATAATCATTGTGATTACATTTGCTCTATCATTGAAGTCCATTCTCCTGAGACTTCTTACCTTCAAAGTCTACTGTGCCATCTCCGTTGTCGTCTGCTTCTTTTACTATTGAGTCTATCTCCTTCTGGCTCATGTGCTCTCCCATCAGCTTGGTCATGGCCGACCGCAGCTCCTCCGTTGTGATCTCTCCATCTCCATCCGTATCGAACTGACCATAGAAACAAGAGAAGAATAAAAGAAAATGAGATCACTATTTATCCCTAGCTTTCAGTCATTGAATTGGGAAAGTTCATGTGAAGAAAACGTTTCACTCTCACCTCTTTAAAGGCGTCTTTGAGCTCCTTCATCCCAATCATCCCGGAGGTTTCTGCCAGAAGCTTCGGGGCCATCAGGTCTACAAAATCATCAAAGTCCACTTTGCCACCAACTGAAGGGAAATCCAGAGAAACTATTCAGGACTTTTCTTCATCATCGTTGCAAATGATCCTCTAACTGGAGATTTCTCATCAGTTTACAGCCGAAAAACGTTTTTTAGATATGTTTCTCTTTGGGGAGTGGGACTCACGGTTCATGTTGATATTTTGGCTCAACTCGATCAGCTCCATCTCCGTGGGCATGTAGCCCATCGTCCTCATCAGATTCCCCAGGTCCTTACAGCTGATCAGCCCATCCTTGTCTTTATCAAACTCATTGAATGCTTGCCGAAGCTCTGTAGCAGCAAAGAGAAATCCACCCAGTCAGATTGATAGTCAGTTAGAGGTACATGCAAAGAGTTTAATCTACCAACATGAGAATATGAAGAATAGGAAAATTGTATTTACCCTCAATCTCATCTTCAGCCAGCTGTCTTGTCTGCACAAAGGGAGAAAAAGACTCAATTAACAAAATTGATGTTTTTTGGTTCAATACAGAACATTACAATAGATTTAAACTGTGTACAGATTAGACTGCGGATTAAAGTGTATTGCTGGTGGAGCACTGGCATCAGCATGCTCAATTTCGGTTTCTCTCATCTTTTTATTTTTGGTTAAAGACCTTTCATCATACCATTAGAAATGTACTTACAATATTCTTCCCTCCTCGCAAGAAAACGCACGCGGCCCCTAAACTCATTTCTGCAAAAGACACACAAAAAACAATTTGAAGTTGTAATTATGAATATGACCTTTTTTTTTTTTACAATTTCTGACAGATGAAGCACAGCTGGCTGGTGTTTGTCAGTGCCAACAAATTAGGATTAGGATAAATTGAGTGGGATGTGTTCCCTCAGAGGGATTGACATAATGTATTATCACTGTCTGACTCCATAAAGCCCTTTTCTCCAAATGGTAAGAGTGTGTGTTTTCTGATAAAAAGAACAGAAGCAAATACTATTCCAATTACAGGAAATCAACTGCCAAAGAAAAAGGAAAAAAGTGACACCAGGTACAAACCTTCTTTTGGTGATTGCTGTTCATCAGCCAATAGCTTCACCTAATCCAAGACCCAGCAGCCGACCCGAGGTGCAACAAGCCTTCTGTTTTCCTCCTGTTATGTTATCTTCCTCTCAGTATCGGTTCTGTTTATCGTGGTCCAGGTGGCAGCCCTTTCTCTCAGTGTGTGGAGACCCTGTGTGCCCTGCTGCGGGATGCTGGGAGGTTGTATAAGGGGGTTGGAGGGTGTGGCTGCATCCAGTTGTACTCTCTGGGAGGAGCCAGCGGTGTGATGCAGAGCGTAAACTTTATATTGTAAATAACACACTGCCATCTGAGCATGACAGAAGAGATTGATACTGTCAGGTCAGAGGTTAGGCGTAGAGTTTCCGTTCCCTTTGTTTACTGTGAAGTATAACAGTATAGCCAATTAACTGCAGTTCAACACGGCGGATGTAACACTTTAAAAGTTGAATAATAATAATAATAATTGATCATTCCGATTATGTATGAAAGTTGTGGAACATTTTAGAGGTTATTTGGAGTTTCTTCCTGAAGGTACAAATAAGTACATACATGTTTAAAATGCATTAAAAGGTTTTTATATGCTGAACATTTCTTCCATTTATTAAAAGGCAATTCTTTCTCTGGAAATGTTGAATATTTCTAAATGATAGCATGCATGTCCTAATTGAGATGAACTTTATGATGATTGAATTGAGTTTATTGAAAGATGTGGACTAATTACATGCAAAAAAAATTGCCGTGGGAAGTAAAATAAAGATTTTGTAGAAGAACATTAATGTGGATAAGAAATTGTAAAGTGTTACAGCTTGTAAATGATAACAAAAAAACAGAAAGATACACAGGTTTTGGTTTTATTGTGTGTTTCTGTGTCAGATAAAAGTGCACAACACAGAGAGTGGCCTGAGTGGATTATGATTTTTATGATCATAAAACTAGCGATTTTAATTGACTAGATATACAAACAGGGAACAAATCTTTATATTTGGAAGAGAAAGTTTAACATTTTTATCTTGATAAATAATTTAACATTTAATAAAGTTGACAGTTTGTACTCTTGATTGAAATAATCAATTTAAGATAATAGAGGCTCATTTGGTTACTCTGTCGTTATAAGCTCCTTCTGTTTTCCTATAAATGGCAGTGAAACAGATTTCCGATATTAAAGAGCCAAAGGCCAGTCAAAGCTAATATCCCATTGTGTGATAATCTACGCGAGTATTGGTTACATTTACGTGGAAACTAAAAGATTATCTTTTCCATGAAAAACCCTGATGAAATGTCAGCGGCTAATACCCCAGGGTCAGTCTTGACTTCCTGCTGTCATGATGTCTGCAGTAACAGGCTGAGCGGAAACACTTGTGCACAGCCTATGGATAGTTTACATGTGTCCTCTCTGTGTCCTCTTCCTCCGCCTGATTCTCTGTTATGTAAATTCATCAAAAATCTGTTTGCATAAGGAGCGTAATCCGCTGGGCTATGGAGCGAGAACTCGTAATGATTTTTATTATCTTTTCCCCCTCTACATTGCAGAGTTATGCAAAGCCCACAGCGGTGGAGAGATGTCTGGAGTGGAGGGCTGGAGGAAATCATTAATTAAAACTAAGAACAGGAAAAGGGAGGGCTGTGTGGTGGATGTATGTTTTCATTTTAAATAAATAGATTATATTGATAGAAAATAAAAATAGGTTACGTTTTTGGATTATAATCTGGATTGAGATATAAAAGCGCGCGAAAGCACAGCTATTTGCTGACCATTTTTGCCCCACAACAGCCAACCCTATTTAATAAAAACGAATTCATACAAAGGTAATCCATTGCTGGATGTTGAAAAGCTACATCTACAAAGCTTTGCTGACTTACTTACTTATGTGTAAAAAAAAAATGAGTAGGAGTTTGAATGGGTTTACATTAATTGAGTGAAAAGTTGAATAATACAAATAAAACGTGGAAATGTTTTAAGGTTTTTTGAAAAGCAAATGCCTGATTGAATTCCTGTAAACATTGAATAATGCCCATTATGTATGAAAGATGTGGAACATTTTAAAGGTCATATGGAGTTTCTGCCTGAAGGTACAAATAAGTACATAAAGGTTTAAAATGCATTAAAAGGTTTTTATATGCTGAACATTTCTTCCATTTATTTCAAAGGTGATTCTTTCTCTGGAAATATTTAATATTTCTAAATGAATGGAAAGCATGAATGAGATAGCATGCATGTCCTAATTGAGATTAAACTATACATTTTGTAAAATAACATTGATGTGGATAAGAAATTGTAAAGTGTAACAGCTTGAAAATTAGAATAAAAAACAGAAAGATACAGAGGTTTTGGTTTTATTGTGTTTTTTTCTGTGTCAGATAAAAGTGCACAACACTGAGATTACACTGAGTGGATTAGAACGATTGATAGGATGTGAAATAGTTCCAATGTTACGGATGCAAAACTTCCAAACTGAAATTGATTACATAAAAAGGCAGTTAAAGATAAAATAATACCAATAAATATAAAATAAGGATTATATTACACCAATTACAATTACTCTACACTTGGACTGCTAATAAGAGTTATATGGCAAGTAAAACAAATATGATATCAGATATGTCTTGTTTTGCAATATGCAAAGTGGAGCATAATAGCAAATCTCCATAGAGGAATTATTATTCAATAGAAATTGCAATTTATATAGTTGTACTAGCTAGAGAGTAGTTGAACATAAACAAACACATTTCAGTATCTATAGGTTTTCATCTTATCAATTAGGATGTTTTCTTATAGATTCAATTAATGTGATAGATTAAAACAATGTAGGTATCATTATCCTGAAAATAACAAAACTAACAACAGAAAAAATAAAACTTCAGGTAAACAGATGAGGAGCACAAACGGTATGCAGAAGTAGGCTACTGTACATCATTTTCTATTTATTTTAATCATATACTTCAACGATTTAAAGTAGGTCGCACAATTCCACATGAACACAGTGCAATACGAAGTTCTTCCTTTCCCCTTACACGTATGAATACCACATTTATTACCCAAAATAATCCCAATATTGTCCCACAGTTAAGGGTGGTTTAAACTTGTGTTGACGTCTGATGCTCCTCGGCCACGCGCGGGCGTGGGTGCAGCTCCTGTGCCTGATATGGAAGCATCGAAGAAGAGCACTTCCGGTTTCCTTTCGGCTCCCGCCCCGCTCCGCCATCATGAAGCCCTGAACAAAAACGGATGGAGAGTCGAGCAAAATGGGGATAACACGAACTGGAGATTAAATCTGCCGACAACACTAACGTAATGACAGCACAAAGTGGAGCACGGAGCGGACCCGTGGAAATTAATAAATCCATTCCCCATTGAAAGCGTCCAAGGCAGTTCTTGGCGTTACGTTATTTAGTTAGCGGTGTTGCTAACAGCAACTAGAGCTAGCCTCTGATTTTGTTAGCTACCCGGCTAGTTATCTGTTAGCAGCCGTCAGTCAGATAGCTGTCACTCTAATTGACTGGCACTTTACTCATGTCAAGCTGCGCAGACGGGCTAGCTGTCCAATTGACTGGGAGCACCAGGATGGAGAGGAGTTTAAGTAAAAGCGTCGACAGGCAGAATGTGGTTTGTTCGTGTTGAATAGACACCAGTGCCGAGGAAAGGGGAGTGAGACCAATATTTTCCAGCCAGGCCGGTTAGCTAGCTCCAGGGCTAGCTACAGTGGATCCCAGAAGCCACGGTAAGACATGTTATAAATCATTCAGCATGCTAATGCAGCCGACTGCGCCTGTCTATCCCTTTTTTGCAGGGAAACAGAACCTAGCATAATTAATTAACCAAATCTTCAGATACTGGAGACGTTGACATTGGCATGAAAGCTTGTTGTTGGCCTGCATATTGAAAACCTAACCAGTCTTGAGTTGTTGTTGTCCACTGTTGAATACATGTAATTTATTTGGTGAGCTACATAGCCTAATTGACCAGCCAAGTGCAAAAAGCCATGTCGCTTTCCCAGCTGAGCTCCTGATGGCAAACCCCTATAGAAATAAATAGTTTTCTGTCACAGCAACCAAGGATTATAACATTTTTCCCCCAGAATATGCACAGGGTTGTAAAATTATAGGTTGGGGAGGTTAATTTTGAATGAAACCCCACATTTCCAGCATTTGTTGCCGCTTCCTGTGTGTGTCTGGGATTCTTATAAATAGACTGAGAGCTTGCTTTAGGCTTTGTTGCAAGATTGAAAGAACTTCTCATTTTCAAAGGGAACCTCAAGCTTCCTCTTTGACTCAAGCAAAATGGCCTTAAGAGAAACGTTTCATGTGATGCTTGTTAATTTTCAAGTGTGTGGACATACTGACACGAAGGCCCAGTTGTTCACTTAATGATCACTATGAAACATATGGAGCATGTGTTACATTATTACATTACACTCTGACAAGATCCTAATGTCCCATGATATACCCCGTGCCAGGCTGTTAAACTGACAGACAGTGCATCACACAAATGATGATTGCAGTCTGCACTATAACCATCATTATAAGCATGCAGTACAATTAATATGTTAGAATAAGTGTGTGTTTCTATATTTTTCTCCGCTTAAAAATGGGAGGCTCGATTACACACATGGTACACCAGTTTATTTTGTCTTTGCAAGATAATCTTGTCTATACCTGTACTGTAGACTACTAAGGCTGTGAGTAAAATGATTAGTAGGCCCACACATTTAATAAGGTAATTAATGTGCAGTCATTTAATAATAACTACTCATTTTGATCCTGTATTGAAAGGAATGTAATGACTAACATATTCAGAACCTAATGAGAGACATGTTTCAGCCTTTTTAAACATGATATATAATGTTTTCTGCTGGATTTAATTAGTCGAAAAAACGATATAGTGAAGTGTAGTTCATATTGTAAAGTCAGATCAATAATAAAAGAGCTATCAGACGCTGTAGTGCTACTTATCCAAAGGTAAAACTTGATAGGCAAATCATATTCATGCTAAACTGGTAAGCATTGTACTTTTAGCTCACAACATTTCCATATTGGCCTCAGAAATGTCACACCAGTTTCGCTCAGACAATATTCTGTACTGTGTCTCCATTGTGTTTTAGAAACACCCCTGTACTCACACATGTCACAGTGCGATATGGGCTGGCTGCTGAATGACTAGTCAAATGTATTGTTTATCGGCAATTATTTGTTTTGTTTAACATACAATGAAAATATGATGTGTTTTTTGTGCATATTGAAGTCTTACTTAAACATCATGAAATAATTGCTTGAAGACATAATATTCATATATTCATTTCTCCCTCATTTCCAATGCGATCTACAGAAGCTAAAAACGGAATATTCCGTGTCTGGGTAAATTATGGTAATTAACATTTTTTCTTAACAGTTTTGCTGCTATTGTTTATTCTTATATTTCTGCTAGAGTGACAGATGGAGGATTATGGATGAATGAGTTAAGTGTGTGGTCATTTTACGCCTATGGGCAATTTGATATTTTACATGCCAACACATTTGCATTTTTGTAGATTTAAACAGTTCAAATGAAGCTGTGGATGAAGAAACATGAACCTTAGTGTCCCGCCCGTCAGGGATGGTGCCACACATTGATTTAGCAACGGTTCGCTAGCTATCGTCATTGCACCCGGCTTCCCGGTAGTAGTGAACATTCAATATTGTTTAAAATAATAAGTCAGTTAAGTTTCTTTATATGAAATGGCCCATCTTTCTTTGCTTATAATATGTTGGATACATGTTAGCGAAATGTGCATTTTCAGGCCAGTTTTAGCCTTTATTGGAGAGTGACCCCGCCTTTAGTTACCCTGAGGACCCCCTGTTGAAGACCCATGCTGCAGATAATATGCGCCTGTCTGTCGATTTGTATGTCACAGACTTTTTTGAGCAGAACAAGTTAAACATTTCAACACATTCACTTTATATAAATAACAACATAGACACACATAATAATAATAATAATAATAATAATAAAGCTATAACATGCATAGGGAGGTGTGTGACCATATTTCTATCCGCTTGTGTTTCTAACACAAACATTGGTGATCCTTCCAAATAACAGACGCTCACCCTGTGTGTGTTTTCCTCGCTCACCAGGCGCTGGCCATGCCGGCGATTGTGCGGGCCGGGAGCCTGAAGGACCCCGATGTGGCGGAGCTGTTCTTCAGGGATGACCCGGAGAAGCTCTTCACCGACCTCCGGGAGATCGGCCATGGGAGCTTCGGAGCGGTCTACTTCGTGAGTTCCTCTCCTTAGTGTTTGGGTCTGTCATAGTAATGTGTCAACTGTGTCTTTCATCTCTCAGCTGGCTGATATGGATACACTCATCATTTAAAGGTTGCAGAATTATATTTGACCGGGAAAGGGAGTTTAATAAATTAAACATTTCTACAAACATATCTTTTTAATTTATAAATCAGGTTAAGTCTGCTCCTTACACTTTGCTGATACGAATATCCAACTGTAAAATGTGATGCTCTAAAAGGCAACTAACTCTATTTATATCTATCTAATCATATACACAAAATAAACAATGAAAACAATAACTGTTAGCAGCTCTCAAAGGGATTGTTAGTTGTAGCAGCTCAAGCTACATCAGATTGTACAAACAAATTATACAACAACAAAATATAACAAATTATAGTACAGCCCAAAAACTTCCCCTTAGCTGAAGCAAAAGCAAAGATGAAATGAAAAGGCTGGTTTTTTTTAAATGTTGAGATGTTATCGCTGTGGTGAGTCTAGCCTGGTTTAAAGCTGCTGACGGTATGACAAGGAAAGCAAAGTTAAGGAGCTAAGCTGACAGCTGATGGAGAGTGATGTTGTGAGATGGTATCTGTTAGACAGGAGGGCAGAGAGTGATGAACTGCCAACAAAACACAAGGTGGATGCACCTATCGCGTGAAAGGCGGCAGGAGGGAGGAAGAAGGAAACAACATGGTGCGAGTCAAGGGCAAGAGGTGGAAGAAAAAGCAGCTTGTCATGTATGAAGGGATCAACAGGGAAGAAGGCTCAGTAGAAATTCTAGTTTTATGTGATGTTGATTTCTCTGTTAGGTCTGATGTAACAATGGCTGCTAAATCCCTCAGGATGGGGAAACTAAATATTCAAAAGAAGGTATTTCTCATCCGTTGTCTCTTACATTTCCACATTAGGCCCATGACATCCGCACAAATGAGGTGGTGGCCATCAAGAAGATGTCCTATGGGGGCAAACAGTCCAATGAGGTAAGACCTGACGGCCCTCAGCCGTTATCCAATCGCAGATTTCAAATCAGTTTATCAGTTTGCTCTTCAATGATTTTGGCTTTGATTTTTCAGAAATGGCAGGATATCATCAAGGAAGTGAAGTTCCTCCAGAAGCTGCGTCACCCCAACACTGTAGAGTACCATGGCTGCTACCTGAGGGAGCACACAGCATGGGTGAGTGTGTTTGTGAGTGTGTGTGGGCGTGGGCTCTTTTTATACGAATGTTTCAAACCTTTACTGTAAATTGATTGTGCAATACACAAAGAACTTGCTTTAGCTCCACATCGTAGGTGAAATAGTGTGGTCAAATGCAATGTAGAAGCCTCTTATAAACAAACAGGTTTCTGTCAATGCAGACGTTCACCCAAAGTGCATTTTTAGTGCATCTATTCACAGGTTTCCCTAAAAGGCTCTCGTTCCATTGGGAAAGGTTTAAAAAAACAAAAACATTGTAAAGTGTTTTTGTCATCATTAGCGTTATACTACATCTTTTTTTTTTTTTTTTTCATGCAAAGCTTCTGCTCAGCTATTTAAGTAAATAGTTGAATATCTGTTTTTTTTAATATTTTATAATGATCACCATTACTCCGTTTGAGTAAATGGGTTCATCATATCAAATACGTTTGTCTATTTGATTAAAGCTACCTATTCAATGAACATAACTTGTCGGTGCGTGTCCCAAGCAGGAGTGCAAACTGGTTTTCCTGCAGCAATTAAAATGTTGTTTTGCAACGGCTAAACGGCAACAACTTCTAATATATGGAGGAGTTGCTCATGAGAGCACTTGTATCGGCCCTACCTTGCTACAACAGCAGCTCTTACACTTAAATAACATACTCAAATCAAGGCCAAACTGCTTCACGTCCAAAAAAAAGCTCTTTGTGTGAAAAAGTCCTTAAGTCAGGGGGTCTGCGGGGTCCTAAAAAGTATTCAAAGTTGATAAATCAATTTAGCGAAAATGAAGGCTATTAAAAAGTATTAAACGGCATTTTCCAAGGTATTACATTTTGTAGCTTGTTTCCAATAAGTATATAAATGGTCCAAAGAGGTTGTATTCTACAGTCTGCCTGAATGTAATCATTGCGTAGGTGTGTAGTGTGATTCTGTGTACTTTATTGATGGCATCCCGTTGGATTTGACGTCATCTGAACAGGACATCGCACGCTCACTGCTTGATAGCGCGCGAAGGTCCGTTTACGCCGGTTGTTAAACAACATCGTTATGGGGAAATGCAAGTTTGCGTCCAAATGGTTTGACAAGGAGGAAGAACAATCAATACTGTATATAGTTAATGTGAGGTAAAGTGTTTCGCCAATGTAACCGGTTAAAACTCAAAGTGGCGATGAGGTCTTAAAATGTGTGGAAAGGGTCTTAAAAAGGTCTTAAAAGGAATTACATCTGACTTCAGGATTCCTGCATATTCCCTGTAAGACGTGCAAAAAGCATGCCGTTTAATCTCCCTCTGTCTCCTAGCTGGTGATGGAGTACTGCTTGGGCTCAGCTTCTGACCTCCTAGAAGGTAAGCAGGAATGAATCAAGTAGTTAAGACACTAACACAAATGAATTAGCATCTACTCAAGTGTGTTCAGTCAGTTGTTCTCCATGCCTAATATCCCGTAATGCCTCTCTTATCCCAGTCCATAAGAAACCTCTCCAGGAAGTGGAAATAGCTGCCATCGTCCATGGTGCATTGCAGGGCTTGGTGTATCTTCACTCTCACAACATGATTCACAGGTAACCCCCGTTTATTTTCTCACTTTCTGGATCTGTTCTCCTCCCCCACACTTCTTATGACAAGAGACAAAACAAATACAGGGCGAAAGCACAAACTGTGCTGCTGAGACCGGCTTATGCAACAGTGTTCACACTCTGAGCAGCAACACATTTGAGTACATCTGACAAGACACTGTCTCTCTCATATGTCCCCTATTTGTTTTGTCTTCCTCACGATTCCCCCGGCCAGTCATTTTCTCTGATCTGATCATGTCTCTCTCTCTCAGGGATGTGAAGGCAGGAAACATCTTGCTCACAGAGCCGGGTCAGGTCAAACTGGGAGACTTCGGCTCCGCCTCCATCATGGCCCCGGCCAACTCCTTTGTGGGAACACCTTACTGGTAAAATATCAACTGTATTACTCATCACCGTTTCTCAGGAGATGAGGACAGTTACTCCTTTTGGATTCAGAAGGATTGCACCAGATTATGATCCAGCAAAGCTTACACCTTGTTTGATAATCTGCTTTATTAAGAAAGTCATCGGTTTCACTTATTTTAAATGTCAAAAGCCTTCCTGATGTTGTTAACTATCTCACTTTCTGCTCATCTCAGTGGAGAACTCCCATTGCATATATGGAGTACCCGTCTGTAAGACAAATGGCAGCGTGTAAAGATGGAGTTTATCAGCTGAAGCCATTTCAATCATTTCAATTACATTTATTTCATAAACTGTTTGTAAAGGGGCAAGTAGATTTCTGCAGAACTTGACAAGTGAGAATTGAACATTGAGTCCTGCCACGATTGGTTAATCAGGGTCGATTGTTTTAAGACCTTAAGAATGATCACCCTTACGTTAAAATAAGACATTTCTTTGATATTAAAATGTCATTACTTTTAATTGACCTTTAATTGACCCTCCCGGGGAGCGTGCGAGTCCATCAGATTATTATTTGTATACCACATATGTTTTTGAGGTGCTGAACAGCATTTAGCATCAGCATGTTCCTCGGCTGTACCTGCCCGTTTCTCACCGGGTCATCAGACTATTCATCTCCTACAGGTTTCTGTAGTTATTGAATATGTGCCGGCCTAACCCTGGTTTTGTCCCTGCTGTTTGATGCGGTGTAGACCTGAGGCGGGGCTCTCTGATAGTCCAGGTTCAAAGAAATGGAAAAGGCTGAATTGCTTTGTTGTGTCCTCCATGCAGGATGGCCCCTGAAGTGATCCTGGCCATGGACGAGGGCCAGTACGATGGGAAGGTGGATGTGTGGTCACTTGGCATTACCGCCATAGAGCTGGGTAAGAGATGTTCATAAAGTGCTCCACTTGTGTGTGTGTGTTCAAAGAGCTGCAAGCATCCTTTTTCTGCCTTTCTCTGTCACGCAATGTTGTGCTTTGTCCCTCTAGCGGAAAGGAAGCCTCCTCTGTTCAACATGAATGCAATGAGTGCCTTATACCACATCGCCCAGAATGAGAGCCCCGTGTTGCTGTCTAATCACTGGTGAGAGTTGGTGAAACTGTCTTAATGTCCTTTTGTTGTTGATTTAATGTGCCAAGAGAAAACATGTTATGTTGCTTGATATCATATTCTAAATGTTGCTTTTAGAAAATAGCTTCTGATGGGTTAGAAGCTTTTACAACATAGACATTTTCAAAGGATATTTAATTTGATACACATTTCCAGGAAGTCTACCGAAATGAAAGAACTTGGCAAAGTGATCACTCCTGATTTCATGGATCTGTGTTGCAGTTAAAACATTTAAATAATGCGCTCACTCATAACATCACAAAGTGAATGGTGCTTTTATAAAGACAGTCTTTATCCTTTCCAGGTCGGATTATTTCCGCAATTTTGTGGACTCCTGTTTGCAGAAGATCGCCCAGGACAGACCGACCTCTGATGTGCTGCTCAAGGTACAACGTGGTGTTTGTTGTCGCACATGAAGGCAGGCGGCAGCGTTTGATTCTCTCTTTGTCAGAGGTTATGATTGAGCAAAGGGAATCTGAAGAAAAGCGCTTTCAGCCACGGCACTAATTGATCTATATTGAAAGGATTAATAATGACATGTTTTTTTCCCTATAAACTACTCTGATGAACATTTTGTGTACGGCACAAACACTGCTCTCATCTGCATTTAATTCCATATGGTACACCAGGTGTTCAATTATAGTTTTATTTCCCTTTAATATAGGGCCCCTCTTTCTCCTCAGTTAGAACCAGCTGTGTTAACCCTTAGATGCACGAGTGACTGGACCCTACACTCTTCCATAAGTGGGTCTGAAAGGACCCGTATTAGAGTAATATGTGTTTTTATGCCATTTTTGTCATTTTGGTTAAGAAAAATCACTTGTATAATATTTAGTATTATATTTTGGTTCACACTAGAAATATTTTATATTTCATTTTTCACAATTTATAATTTTAGAAATTTCTTTTACATTTTGAAAAAAAAGTTTTGAACATATTGTCCCAAAGATCTCTGCTATTCTGAGACCCTCACAGTATTCCAGTCCCTTTTCAAAACCTGTCTACTCATAGACCCCCCCCATCAATCCATGCCGGTTGATCAAGTTTGATAGTCCTATACCCCCCACCCTAACCTTCCCTTATAGTGTAAAGCGATTTTGAGTCCTTGAAAAGCCCTATACAAATATAATGTATTATTATTATTATACTGACAGGTATCAGATCTTGCTGTGTAAAATAATCTTCCTGAGAGGTGTCACTTGTGATGTTGTCTGTGTGTTCTACAGTGAATGTATTCCTGACAGCNGAGGAGGAGGAGGCAGGATAACTGCCGTTGAAACTAAAGAGAAGTCCAGTAATCTTGTCATGTATTTTATAAGCTTTTGTTTCTCATGAGATTTTGTTTGTGGCTTTCAGACAAAGGCAGTCCTGACTGAGGAGAAGAAGTTCCAGCAGCACATCCTGGGTCAGCAGAAGAAGGAGCTGACGGGGCTGCTGGAGTCCCAGAAGAGGCAGTACAGAGCCCGCAAGGAGCAGCTCAAAGAGGTTTTCACCAGAACCGCTCTTTTATTCACTCAAATGTCCCTGGTAGTGCCAAGGCACACA